TCCACAGTCGAACGGCTAGGCGGAACGCTTCTGAAGCTGGCACTTCACATGTCAATTGTGGACGGGCTTACGGAATTTATTTCATATATATTCCTATTGATAATTTGAGCGCCATCAAAATCCAGATCACCTGATGGAGTGTCACCGGGAGGGTTTCCGCTGCGAATAAATTTTCAAAACCCGCATGACACCATCAGTTCAAATTGAAAGCAGCTTTTTCTCCGCCACTCTAGGCTAGGGGAATAGTTCAACCGGCATTCTTTAGCACCTGCGCGCTCCTTCAGCGTAGGACGTTGTGTTGTTTCGTGATGACAGCGCCAGGCGTGGCCGATTGCCCCGCAGTTTTCAAGATTGCCTAGCCGGGTGTTTACGACACACAATTCAAGTCCGGCCAACACATGCGCGAAAACCGCCCAAATGACCTAGTGTTGAACAACAAATGTTCCGCCCAAAGACACAATTGCGCATGGATTACGGCCGCGATCCAGGACAGAAGAGATGTGCCAGCCAGTGAATCCCATGCTAGTTAAACCTCAGATTCGAAGTCAAATCATCGAAATATCTAGCGGTGAGTGAACGCCGGAATCGAAAACTATATGGTAGAATAAAGAGCGCCCTTGGACGGCAAAATTAATGTGATAGAACCAGGAATGAAAAATTCTACAATCAGAAGCGCTACTCGTTCATTTATTGAATTCGGTCTCATTATTTTCGCTTGCGCACACATGAGTTCACTGGGTTCATTCGTGAGTGTTCGGGGAGAGGGAACTAAGAGCGATTTACTGGTGGGCAGAAAACACTTTTGGCTACTTTGAACAGCAACATTTGCGTGGTTGCGACCGAAAGTAGTAGATGTTCTGCCTGCTCCAGGGAGTCAACGATGGGGAATAGCGACGACATAAGCTAATGAAAACAGAAACGCGTAACTTACCTGGTTCGGGCGCTGGAGCTAATTAGTGAGTAAAAGAAGTGCAATTGAGGTTGTTTGAGGGCTTTCAACTTGGCAAAGGATTCTATGGTCTTTCCAATCGGCCAACAAGGTGAAATCGAAAGCACTTCCCGCAAAAACGCCTAAATTCGGCATCTTGCCTAGACAATTTGAAGCGTTTGGAAGTTGACGACATTCGGCGGTTAGCGTGCGTGTTCCTTCAGCCAAGGGGGCTGTACCGAAGCTTGCTTTTGAATATTCAAGACTGCACCACGTTTATCTAATTTACCGGGCCTCTCCGGAAAACACTTATTACGGGATGTGTAACGTTTGAACGAATAAGCATGAACTCCGTCAAACTGACTTTTGGCTGAGTGGCAACGCATTCTAATTTCCACCTTCAATGCCAGTTGGCAGCTTCATACGGGTTCCGACATCACGCTGCTTAGTGAACGAACGTCGAAACGGACTGATAAGCCGCGTGTGAAACCGATCGAACATTGAGCACGCAATGCTTTTGGGGGTTGAGTGGCTAGGTTAACTGTCTCATAAGCTTCAATGTCTCCACGGGGCATGCCACCTGACCTCATGCCCCAAACATGATCTCATTGGGCTGGATTGGATCAAAAAGCTGAATCTGCAGAAGAGAGTGATTATTTACAGCCTCAGTCACGCAGCGTCTGGAGGTTGCTGGAAAAACTCCTTTTGCGAAGCGTTCACCTAAGGACCTCCTACAACGTCATGCATCTATATTCACTAACGAGGTTGGACGGTGCACAAAAACAATATGAATGCTGTGCTTCTTCCGCGGTACCAACCCAGCTTACAGACCAATCCGTCCAGTACCATATGCAGCCCTACCATCGTTAACCAGGAACTGGACCGACTGCAAAAAGGTGGTGTTCTCCAACCGACCAACTAATTCGCATGTGCCTAACCGGGCCTGTTGGTGGAGGAGGCTAACGGGACGACACGTTTGTGCGCACATTTCTCCACCGGTCTCAATGCTGCACTAAACACCCATTAGTACCCTCTGCTTTTCCCACCCGAAGATGAATGGCGGTAAAATTTTCGCGGAGATTAACTTACTGATCCATACCCTCAAGTTGAAGTCAGCAAAATTCCCGAGACCTACTGGCGATCCATATGCATCAAGGTTCGTTCCAGTATACTCAACTGCCATTCAGTGTCAAAACAGCGCCAGCCGTATTTCAACAGATCATGGAGACGATGCTGATGGACGCCTCCGGCCGTGCTGCCTTTTTGGAAGAACTCATTGTCATGGGTTCCAACCACCACGTATTGTGGTGCGCCTTGATTGCGCGCTTGGTCGTATTCAAGAATGTGGCTTCAGAGTTCGCCGAGAGAAATGCACCCTTTTCATGCGGTCGATAAAGTACATCGGTTCCATCATTGACCAACATGGCTGACGACCAGACCCGGAGGACATTGAAGCTAAATGCCTTATGCCAGCACCCACAGACCTGACGTCTCTCCGATCTGTCCTCGGTCTAATCAAACAATATAGTTCGCTCCTGTCTGCCTTGTATCGGCTCCGAGGCCCACTAAACCACATGAAAGAAACCAGATTCCAACACACTCCGTCAAGATCCGCATTCATTTCATCTGCGTCCAACAAACCTCGCCTTCATCCACTACAGCTTATCCAACGTAGATCTCGATAGGTCTCTCATGCCTTTTGTGTATTATTCAGTTTTATCGGTGTCTCTGGTAACCACTATACGTAACGGTTTATTGTTGGCGTTATTGATCCCATGAAATTACTTTGAGTAGGAGACAATAGCACTATCAGGCCCTATTTAGAAAATACTTGTAACACGGTACGTAACGTTGGAACGAAGAAGTATGAACTCTTACAAACTGTCGTTTGGTCGACTGGCACACGTATTCTCATTTCCACTTTGAATGCCAAAATATTCCTGGTGCCGGAAACTCTACTCGTTTATTTAGAGAATTCGTTTTTATTATTTCCCCTTGTGCATACACGGGTTCACTGGCTTCATTCGTGAGTGATCGGTGAGTGGGGGTTAAGAGCAGTGTACTGGTGAGCGGAAATTTCTTTTGGCTGCTTCGGCAAACAACATTCGCTGGCTTGGGATCGAAAGCAGTAGAAATGCACCGGATCGTGTTCTGGATGCTCCAGGGTTTCACCGATGGGGCCATCCACATCGTACAAATTTACAACGGTGAATTTGTTATACTTGGTTATACTTTGTCTGGATCGCTCATATTGATTATGAACAACAGGACGTTGTCCTATTTCTTCCTTGGGGTATATTCTAATACATGTATTTACTCCTCCGCTTGTGCACAAACCTTTTTTATTGTGGCCTGGGCGTGCATGGTCTCACATCAAGTGGACGTCGATGCCACTCGGAAACCACTCGTTCGAGAGAATTCACATCAATAATCCAGAGAGATTTGGTGGTGAATGTCCAACTAGCTGGACACGAGCCTATACACCAAACAGTGAGGTGCTACAATTCATCCATACTCCTTTCGGATTTGAATCGAAGACCCAGAGTCCCTCAATAAACTCATCTTTCGATGGGGATCAGTGCGCGCACACGTTCAATCTACACGAACATTTTAACATTCCCTGATGGCTGTGTGTACCCCTTCAGAAGAATTCACGCGTGGAGAATCTACCATTTTGTCGGTGGATTTAGGTAACTACTGTTAGGCGCAGTGCAGCCACCACACAGAAACAAGATAACTTCAGAGTTGTGATATATATGAGAAGGCGACCTGTTTGTGAAACAAACGCTGAATCCAACGCGGATAGGAGGCGTTGAATTTTCGAACTGATATTTAGGTGAACCTTGGTCAGCAACGGGAAATTTCGTTGTGAAATGCGCTTCACTGGAACAGCCTGTGAAATGATTTTCAGCTCATATTGCTCTAGGTAGATTGAGTATTTGCTGACAGGCACCCTTCAAGGGCCTACAATTAAGCAACAAAAATGATAAAGCAGTGTACTGCAGCCAAACTTACCTTCTTCGGACTCTGCAGTAAATGAACATATAAAATAACCGAATGGGGATTGTTGGATGACCTGCGATTCGGCAACGGATTTTGTGGTTTTCACATTCAAATTAAAAACGGAAAATGGTGCTCGATCGTGCGATATTGCCTTATTGGTACATAATTCCATGATCGTCCGAGGAGCAACGCACTGCAACCGATCTTACCTGGCTGGGGCTCTGCAGTAAATAAACATATAAAATAATCGATTGAGGATTGTTGGATGGCCTGCGTTTCGGCAACGGATTTTTTGGTTTTCGCATTTAAATTGCAAACGGAAACTGATAGCCGATCGTGAGACAATGCCTTACTGGTGCACAATTCCATGACCGTCCAAAGAGACTGAGCATTGTCGTGATGCGACGCTTAGCGTATCTGAGTAACCCGGTGAGCTATACTGAAGTATGTTTGTGCAACATTCAGCATCCTACAGTTTCTATCTCCCCGCTACGGGTCAGTCAATGGATAGAATTCCGACAATCACAGTCTCCTGGCTGTTCAGGATACGGTTGGAACATGTTCGACAATTTGTCCCAGAGAATCTGTGTTACTCGAGTAATCTCAAACTAGGCAGCCCTGCGTCCTTCTGCCTAGGTTTTGGTACACACAACCAGCCGTGTTGACCATGACTCCTACTGGTCGGTTGTTTGATCGATTAACTGACGCCAGTATTCGATATCTGATTGCCTGATTGGTTGCTTGTTCGCCTGAATGCGTGTTTGCTTCCTGGCTCACTTGAATGCTTCCTTAATTACTTCCATGGTTGTTTTCCTGGAAGATACCCTTAAGGTGGCCTGCACTTGAGGAAACAAATGATATAGCAGTGCACTGCGGCCAAGCTTACCTTGTTCGCGCTCTGCAGCAAATAAACATATAAAAAATCGAATGGGACTGTTGAATGGCATACAATTTGATAATGGGTTCCATGGCTTTCGCGTTCAAAATACAAACAGAAAGTCGCTCATAAGACAATGCCTAATCGGTGCACAATTCCTTCATGGTACGAAGAGACTGGCCCTTTTCGTTTTGCGACATTCCGCCTTTATCACGTTCTTGGCTGTTCAAGATGCGGTTGTACGGAGTGTGGGAATTTGTTCCATAAACAAAGAAAATAAGGATGAGGATGACGACAATGATGATGGAGGTGAGGACGGCGTTGAGTAGAAGGGGGATGGAGAACGCCAGCGATGGGAGGATACTGGGTGGAGATCCTCGCGGAAAAGACAACTACACACCGTCCGATAAACTAGCTATGAAGAATTCGTGGTTCAAACTGAAATGGGGACAAAGCTTACCTTATCAAAATGGCAGAGGCTTCGGGGGCACGACTCATGTTTGCCACAATCGTGGAGGTCACGATAACGGCATCAGGCCTCATGAAGGGAGTCGCAGGTAGCCGCACGGAGTTTCTGTACATCTGGTTGCATAGCCAAGCCTTCAAGTCAAGGTATCCAACGTCGCGAATTTAGAAGAAGTATCATGTAGCAGTTTGCTCTCTTACGGTTTTCCATGGTCCAGGCGGGAACGAGCCATAGTATGGATGACACGATTACAATTGTTAACACGCTTAGCCCTCCGCGACTTGATGAAGAGCTCGTCCCAATGGAATTCCCGAATGTAAATTCGGCTAAATGATAATGCCAAATCTTTCTAATATTTCTTGAAGCACTGATACTCGTCGGATGAATGCTGGAATAACGTGGCTTGTCTTCATCCAACAGACATCGAATCATACCTAGTCGAAAGCTAATGACACACTGTTTGATCAGATACTATCGTGATTTGGAGAAACATAATTCGACGAAAACATTCGACGAAAATCCAAGGCATGCGCCCTTAACAGAGAAGCATTGATATTGTACCGCAGCCGTGGGTTCTGTGAAGCAGGCAAAAGAAAGTAATCCGTTTACGAACTGCGCTCCACACTAGATTACGTCAAAAACCATGCCAAAGTACTGCAGTATCTTCGGAAGCGACCGGTACTGAATTCGCCTGTTATTGCATCTGTGTGACCCAATCGAAACGGGGTGAATTTTAAAAAAATAAGGTAAGCTGTGTCGGAGAAATAACCTTTCGGCAGTGGTTCATGTATTCGCGCACCAAACCTGCATCCAGAACGCATTTATTTGTTCTCAGTGATAATCTCGTCAACGAGTGCGGACTTCAATTTAGACCTAATAATGAGTTGTATTCATTGAATATTTTGTGTGTGCCTGTGTGTGTGTGAATAATCATATATGCACACAATACCATGGTGCACTCAGTAGGAATCACAGAGTAGTATCTTGTTTAACGTTCCCTATCGGTGTAAACCGCCAGTGAAAACTGTAGTCAATATTCCTGCCTGTCTGTTAGATTGTCAGGCAAGGGACACGATGTAAAATCACTCTAAACCTAGAAAATACATGGACGGAATCACATTGGATCCCCGCATTCAATGAACCGACATACTGCAAATCGGGCAACCCTACACGCTGTCATTTCGCGAGCCTCACTGGACAGAACTACTCTCGTTCATGCGATACTGCTGGATTATATCTGTGGGGTGCAGCAAATATGCGTGTTTCCGCATTCCTCTGATGTACAATCCCAATATGCATTGAAAAATTCCTAAGGGGAGTTTAGGGGCTCTCGCATAATTGTAATCAAACGATATAACGCTTTTGAATAATCTCCAACAACATTCTGGTTTATCACACCGCCCTTCGTTAAGGTCATTTCGCTGCCTTCAATATATCACTGGAGGGTCTTCTAGAGTGTTGCGATTTCGATCCACAAAGTTACCCCAATTCGGCGTTTTCGTATATTTTGTATTCGGACACTCATTGAATCTTTCATTGATACGACAGGGTAAACAGGGTAGCAACCTTAAAACCAAGTGTTAGCAACATGCACACACAAGATTTCGAATCCCGTATAAACAAACTACAGATAATGTTCAACGAAGCGCACAATAGTACATGGAATAAAAAATTTACGTTTTTTCTTTCCTCCTGAAAAACAGAAGCACGACTAATTATGAACATTCACACGGAGCTTCCAATAAAGATTCTGTAACCAATTAATCATATAAGGGCAGATGGATGAATGGATGAAGGGTTACTGGGCTGGATGCGTGGGAGGCTGGCTGGCTGAATCGATGGTTGGATGGATGGATGGATGGATGGATGGATGGATGAATGCATGGATGGAGAGATTTACGGAATGGTAACTCATAGTTACTTGAATGACAG